CTTCCTCCCCCCTGCAAACCCTATTCCATTCCACCACTGATGTTGTCCCCTAGTTGGGTCATGAAATGTCTGCACGAAAGCCACCAAGCTCAGAGAATACCAGGGACTCCACAGTCCATCCTTCCTTCCCTTCCCTTCTTTTCCCTTCCCTTCCCTCCTTCTTTCCTTCCTTCCTTCCCTCCTCCTCCTCCTCCCTTCTAACACTGATGAGGTTCCCTAGTTGGGCCATGAAACATCTGCAAGGAAACCACCAAAGCTCAGAGAGCACTAAGGACCCCACAGTCCGTCCTTTCTTTCTTTCCTTCCTTCCTTCCTTCCTTCCTTCCCTCCTCCTCCTCCCTTCTAACACTGATGAGGTTCCCTACTTGGGTCATGAAACATCTGCAAGGAAACCACCAAAGCTCAGAGAGCAACATGGAACCCATAGTCATCGTCTTCCTCTTCCTCCGCCCAGCAAACTCTACTCCATTCCACCACTGAGGTTGTCCCCTAGTTGGGTCATGAAACATCTGCAAGGAAACCACCATAGCTCAGAGAGCAACATGGACACCCCCTCCCCAAAGGTGGTTTATCTCAGTCATCCTCCGCAGACCACTTCCAGGGCCAAACCAAGCCAGACCCTTACCTCTTTAAGCCGTGGGCACCGGCTGGGGCATCGGTGGCTGCTCGGGCTTGGTGCCTTTCTGCTCCGAGATGGGGGTGGTGGGCAGAATCTCTTCTTTGGGCTCCACGATGCTGACGTGGTCCGGCAGGGGCTTCTTGGGCCCAATCTTCCCACTGGGATCCCAGGGCAACATAATCTTCACCTTAATGCCCAGCACCCCTGCAAACAAAGAAGGCGAGGCGCTGAGGCGGGATCGCGTGGGCCTGCAAGCCCATGTTGTGATTCCGTGCCAGCCTGTGCTCCCCACAGCGGAGTCAGAGGAATCTGAGGAGGAGGAGGCATCTGAAGGGCCATCGGGGGCAGAGGGAGTCTCTGAAGTAATAGTAATAGTAAAGTTGGAAGGGACCTTGGAGGTCATCTAGTCCAACCCCCTGCTCGGCAGGAAACCCTACACCATTTCGGACAAATGGCTGTCCAGTCTCTTCTTAAAAACTTCCAGTGTTGGAGCATTTACTGCTTCTGGAGGCAGGCGGTTCCACTGATTAATTGTTCTCACTGTCAGGAAGTTTCTCCTTAGTTCTAGGTTGCTTCTCTCCTTGGTTAGTTTCCACCCGTGGCTTCTTGTCCTGCCTTCAGGGGCTTTGGAGAATAGCTTGACTCCCTCTTCTTTATGGCAGCCCCTGAGATATTGGAAGACTGCTATCATGTCCCCCCTTGTCCTTCTCTTAAACTAGACATACCCAATTCTAGCAACCTTTCCTTATACGTTTTAGCCTCCAGTCGCCTAATCATCTTTGTTGCTCTTCTCTGTACTCTTTCTAGAGCAGTGGTTCTCAAACTTTCTAATGCCGCGACCCCATAATACAGTTCCCCATGTTGTGGTGACCCCCAACCACTTATACATCACCAGGTGCCAGGGGTGTGGCCAAAGAAAAGGGGGGAAAAATGGTGGACAGCCTTGTTTGGCGACCCCTGTGAAATGGTCGTTCGACCCCAAATGGGGTCCCGACCCACAGGTTGAGAACCACTGTTCTAGAGTCTCAACATCTTTTTTACATCGTGGTGACCAAAACTGGATGCAGAGCCTGGGCCCTCCAGTCGTGTTCCTGATGAAGCTCAGCTGTGTGAGGAGCATGAATCAGACTTGGAAGAATCACAACAGATGGACTTGCTAATTGACGCAGGGAGAAGGCGTCAATTAGCCAGAGTAAGTCAACGGAGGTCAATGAGGCACCTCCAAGGTAAGAAGAAACGGCAAGGAGGAGGCACCGCCTTAGGTCTGCTAAATAAAAAAGGGAGGTGCTGGTTGCTGAAGGCAACCGTTTGAAAACTGCGTCTTGGGATCTTGGTCTGTGACTTCTCTTGTGACTTCGTGTCTGCTTGTCATCGTGTTCTTTTGGACTGGAGTTTGCTGTATTTGACAGGTGTGTCCACAGAATTAAAAGTCTCCAGCCTACTGTAGTAGCAGGGGTTTTGTCCTTGTGAAGTTAACAAGGACGACAATAGGCTGGGATAGAACAGCCCAGGAAGAGAGGAGCAGAAACTCAAACGAAGCCCATTCATTTAGTGACCATTCAAAGTTAAAATGGCGCTAAAAAGAGGGACTTGTGGCTGTTTTTCACACTTGCAGCCAGCCGCGTGATCAAAATCTGGACCGTTGCCGTTATCCCGGGGTCAGGTGATCCCCTTTGGCGAACCCTTGGCAAGCGAAGTCAATGGGGCAAGGCCAAGTTCCACGGAATGACCGTGTTATTGACTTCGCGACTGCAGCGATCCGCTTAACAACGTTGGCGAGAAAAGTCGTAGAATGGGGGAAAAAAATTCATTTAACTGTCTGGCTTAGTGACAGAAATTTTGGGCTCAAAGGTGAGCCGTGGGAGCGGCAGTGGTCAGAATGCAGTAATTGCAGGCTAACTCTGCCCACAGCCTGGAGTTTGATGCTGACCAGGCTCAAGGTGGACTCAGCCTTCCGCCCTTCCGAGGTCGGTAAAACGAGGACCCAGATCCTTGGGGGCAAATAGGCTGACTCCGTAAACCGCTTAGAGAGGGCTGTAAAAGCACTGTGAAGTGGCATTTAAGTACTATTGCTATTTCTTTCTTTCTTTCTTTCTTTCTCTCTTTCTTTCTCCCTCCTTCCTTCCTTCCATCCAAGATTGGTAAAATGAGGACCAAGATTGTTGGGGACAAATAGGCTGACTCTACGTAAACTGCTTAGAGAGAGGGCTGTAAAACACCATGAAGTGGTATATAAGTACTATTGCTCTTTCTTTCTTTCTTTCTTTCTTTCTTTCTTTCTTTCTTTCTTTCTTTCTTTCTTTCTTTCTTTCTTTCTTTCTTTCTTCTTTCTCTCTCTCCTTCCTACCTTCCATCCAAGATCGGTAAAATAAGGATCCAGATCCTTGGGGGCAAACAGGCTGACTCGGTAAGCCGCTTAGAGGGCTGTAAAAGCACTGTAAAGTGGTATATAAGGACTATTACTATTTCTCTCTCTCTCTCTCTCTCTCTCTCTCTCTCTCTCTCTCTCTCCCCCTCCTTCCTTCCATCCAAGATTGGTAAACTGAGGACCCAGATTGTTGGGGGCAATTAGGCTGACTCTGTAAACTGCTTAGAGAGGGCTGTAAAGCACTGTGAAACGGTATACAAGTCCAAGTGCTATTGCTAAATCTGGATGTAAGTCAAAAACTACCTGTATAGGTAGCAATAATAAACGTCTTCTCTGATTTGAACTCAACCAATGCTCTGGAGTGTTGGCACCAGAGAGTGGCCCAGTAGAGACTCCTCAAGGTAGACCCCCCCCCAAGGAAGAAGGGGGTAGGAGCTTCCAAAATCTGAACTGAACGGAGCTGTATGGGTGTCTCCCGTGCCTTACCCTGTCTGAGGAGGACGTGGCGCACGGCGGTGTCCACGTAGTAGTTGACGGGGTCCCCGCTGTGGATCATCAACCCATCCACAAACTTCATGGATTTGGCACGCTGGCCCCGGAGCTTGCCGGACACCACCACTTCGCAGCCCTTGGCTCCGCTCTCCATGATGAAGCGGAGGACGCCGTAACACGCCCTGCGCAGAAAGAACACCTGAGTGAGAACTTGGGACGATTTAAATATAAGCACGAGGGTCAGGAGCCCTCTGAATGTCATGAATTAAAATTTAAAATTAACCACGTACAGCACGTTCGCATCGAATTTCAGTAAAAAAAAACAAAGAGCATATAAAATCTGAAAGCTTAATGGAAAGATTGCAAATGTTATCTACGATGCAAATATGAATTCTTACTTCATTTGTCGCAACTGTGCAGTCGGCAAAATCTCCATTAATAGGCTTGGTTCTGACACTTGTTATTATGTGTCGGATAGTTTGTTTTTCAGCCCCACAGTCACAATTTGGTGATGGCATTTTGCCCCACTTAACAGAGGGCATCTGCGCATCTACCATGACCGGTGAGAATTCAGTTTAGTGTTGTCTAAATCGCATAGGGCTGAGGACAATTAACCAGTGGAACAGCTTGCCTCCAGAAATTGTGGGCGCTCCATCACTGGAGGTTTTTAAGAGGCTGGACAATCACCTGTCTGAGATGGTATATAGGTTCTCCTGCTTGAGCAGGGGGCTGGACTAGAAGACCTCCAAGGTCCTATTCTATTCTATTCTTTGATTCTATACGTAATTCTGCATCTATAAACTCTATTCTACTCCATTATTTGATTCTGTAAGTAATTCTGTATCTATAAACTCTATTCTTTGATTCTATAAGTAATTCTGCATCTATAAACTCTATTCTACTCCATTCTTTGATTCTATAAGTAATTCTGCATCTATAAACTCTATTCTATTCCATTATTTGATTCTATAAATAATTCTGCATCTATAAACTCTATTCTATTCTATTCCATTATTTGATTCTATAAGTCAGTGGTGGCGAACCTATGGCACAGGTGCCAGAGGCGGCACTCAGAGCCCTCTCTGTGGGCACGCGCGCCGTCGCCCCAGTCCTAGGCCTTCAGCTGGGTTTTATAAAACCTTTTCGCTTTAGGCCTCCGCCGCTGTGTACAAAAAAAAAAAAGGTTCAATCAATCAATCAATTTCAACTTCTTGCGGGAAAGAAAAAGATCTCGCAAAGTTGGAATTGATTGATTGAACTTTTTAGTCCCACCCAGTCTGCCGTTACCACCGCAGCCACACCCACCCGATTGGCCACACCCACCCGGCACCCAACGATGCATAACTGGCTTTTGGGTTGCAGTTTGGGCACTCGGTCTCTAAAAGGTTCGCCATCACTGCTATAAGTAATTCTGCATCTATAAATTCTATTCTATTTCCAGGTGGTTCTTTCCAACAATATTAATAAAAAATCAACTAGTTAAATTTCAGCGTTAAGGACAAGAGCCTTTTCAAGGGCTTCCCTTCTCAGACAAATGCCTCTAGTTCATCCAATGACCGGACCCCCCCCCCTTGCCAAAGCCACCAACACAGAGCCACAGAACGTGGCGCAGCATTGCTCGACCTGGGCGGAAGGGGGGGGTCTCTTCTGACTCGTCATCGTATCATCATCGAAGGGATTCTTTTGGCTCGGTCAAAAACAATACCTGTTTAGTTGATTTATTGAGGAAAATGGCTTGTGGCCTTCTTGTGTGTTGGCCAGCTTTATAAATTTGTTTAATAAACATTATTTATGTGTTTATAAACAAACATACATCCGTAATCCAAACATAATCCAAAGATTATTTGCTCCTGCTACAGATAGTCCTCAACAGACGACCGTAACTGAGGCCCAAATTTCTTGTCACTAAACAAAACAGCTGTTAAGTGAGCTTTGCCCCGTGTTACGACTTTTCTTGCCCCAGTTGTTAAGTGAATCAATGCAGTTGTTAAATTAGTCAAACTGTTGTTAAGTGAATCCAGCTTCCCCCGTTGACTCTGCTGGTCAGAAAGTCGCAAAAGGGGATCACGTGACCCCAGGGACACTGCGACCGTCATACGTCAATACATGCCAGTTGCTAAGTGTCTGAATTTTGGTCACATGATCATAGGGATACAATGGTCGTTAAGTGTGAAAAATTGCTGTAAGTCACTTTTTTTCAGAGCTGGCCGAAACTCTGAATGCTCACTAAAGGAATGGTTGTAATGTTCTAAAGCTGAAGGGACATGGAAATAGAACAGAAATGTAGAATAGAATAGAAATAGTAATGAATAGAATAGAATAGAATAGAGTAGAATACAGTAGAATGGAATAGAACAGAAATAGTAATGAATAGAATAGAATTACAGGATGGAATAGAATAGAAATACAGAATAGAATAGAATTACAGAATAGAATAGAAATGTAGAATACAATAGAGTAGAATAGAAATAGGAATGAACAGAATAGAATAGAAATGAATAGAATAGAATAGAATTACAGGATGGAATAGAATAGAAATACAGAATAGAGAATAGAAATAGGAATGAACAGAGTAGAATACAGTAGAATAGAATACAGTGGAACAGAATAGAAATAGTAATGAATAGAATAGAATACAGTGGAACAGAATAGAAATAGGAATATAAATAGAATAGAATAGGATGATAGGACAGAATATAGTCCATTGCTTCCAACCCAGGAAGCTTTAAAGAAGAGACTGGACAATCATTGGCCCGAAACGGTATAGGGGTTTCCTGCCTGAGCAGGGGGCTGGACTAGATGACCGCCAAGGTCCCTTCCAACCCTGTTATCTTGTTCTGTTCTGTTTCTGCCTAATTTGGGAGGTGTGAAGGAAAGTGGTGCCAAATCGAAGAGTTTCTAGACCCAGTGGAGGAAGAAGAAAGCTTGGGTCTGGCTTCAGCCCCCCCCCCGGCTTACCTACGCACGGCCAGGCCCCCCAGAAGCTTGTACCGCAGGGACTCAGCTTGGGCAATGGCACACAGTCCTCGGGTGGCCACTTTCTCGGCATAGAGCTGCAAGAGAAAGCAACACGCGTCACAAACACGCACCAGGCAGGAGGTTGTTTTTTTGCTTTGTACTTAGAGAAAAATAATTTACTCCCCCTCTGGGGAAGATTGAGGAAGTCCTTGACTTAGCAACCATTCGCTTAGTGACCGCGACCATTTCCCCCACACACCCAACATTTCTGTTGCCAGGAAAGGTAGCTGTTCAGGGAGTCTTGCCCCATTTTACGACCTGTCCAGCCACAGTTGTTAAATGAATCACTGCAGTTATAAAATTAGTCCAACGGTTGTTCAGCGAATTGGGCCTCCCCACCGAATTTGGCCTGTCACGAGGTCGCAAAAGAGGACCGCGATACAGCGACCGTCATAAACGCAGGCCAAGTGTCAGAATTTTGACAACGCGGCTGCGGGGATGCCGCCATTGTGACAAGTGTGGAAAAACGGTCCTAGGTCACTTTTCCCCACGACTTTGTAACTTCGGTCACTAAAGGAACTGTTTTAAAAGGAAGACGAGCCGTCAAGAAATTTTAGATGTAGATTCCTGGCACAGCAAAAGTTTTCAATCCCTGCCTTTTAAATCCAACGCTCGGCACGCAAACGACACACAAGACAATAAACAGCCCATGGAAAGCCACAACTGAACCGTTTGTGGCTTTTAAATTCTTGTCTATGGAGATTCTCAGGTCATAATTGTCCCAAAGATGCTTTTCTTGTTTTTTCCTTTGAAGACGTTTCGCTCCTCATCCCAGAAGCTTCTTCAGCTCTGACTGGATGGTGGGGAAAATGGAAGGATTTATACTCCTTGCAGACAGCTGGTCATTTGCCTTATATTGATGGAAGGATCAATGTAAGGAAAGACACTTATTATCATATCTGGTGGACATGCCCCAAGGCAAAAAAGATTTTGGCTTAAAATACATTTTTGGTTGGACTACAAAACAAACAAGACTTTAAACCAGTATTATTTTTGGTTAGGAATAATAGGAGCTAATTATGAGAAAGATTGCAGATATCTAATACTACACGTATTAACGGCAGCAGGAATAGTATTGGCCCAACATTGGAAAAATGAACACTTACCAACTGAAGAAGTACTAATCAAGAAAATTCTAGAATGTGCACAAATGGACAGATTGACTTTAAAGCAGTGTTTCTCAACCTTGACAATTTTAAGGCATGTGGACTTCAACTCCCAGAAATCCACAGGGTTGAAAAACACTGCTTTAAAGGTTAAAGAGAAAGAAGACTCAGTGTACTTTAGACCATGGCATAATTTCAATCAATAGCTAGAAAAACAAGTCAGAGAGAAAGGAACGTGAGATGTCATTTTGAATATATATTAGCAAGAAGGCGGCTATTGAGTGATTAACATATTGTTTATGATAATTAACTATATCTATTATTGTTAGTTAAATACATGTACCCAGACATTATGCGGTTTGCGAAATATTGAAAATGTTATTTGGAAAAACCCTAATCCCGACCTCGCCTTATCCCTAACCTTATAAAAACTAATAAAATCTATACACAAAAAAAATGTAAGGCAAATGACCGGCTGTCTGCAAGGAGTATAAATCCTTCCATTTCCCCACCATCCAGTCAGAGCTAAGAAGTTGGGGGTGAGTGCCCCTTTCTTAATTCTTTTCTAGTGGAAGTACAAAGCATTGAAACTGGCATGTACTTTGCCACTGGCGTGTGGCCTTCTCTGCTGTTGCCAGCTTTTGGCTGCTGCTGTTTTCTTGAGATGCACCTGCCTGTTGCTTCCTTGAGTCGCTGCTCCAAAGTTACACTGAGTTGCAAACCAAGTGGAGTGTGGCAGGGGAGGGGGAGAAATACAAGTAGTCCTCGACTTAACAACGATTTGTTTAGTGACCGTTATACAACAGCGTTGAAAAAAGGGACTTATTGAAAATGTAACCCCAACCCCGTCTTATTCCTAACCCAGAAAAACTAATAAAACCTATACACAAAAAAATGTAAGGCAAATGACCGGCTGTCTGCAAGGAGTATAAATCCTTCCATTTCCCCACCATCCAGTCAGAGCTGATGAAGCTTCTGGGATGAGAAGCAAATGGTCTTCAAAGGCCAGTTGCGTGCTGGAAAAGCACCTTTGGGACTTTTAAATTCAAGTGAGAAATTCTGCTTCTCAGCACTCCCTTCTCAGACCCCTAGGCAGGTCATCCAGTGAACAGGGCACCCTTGTCAGAGTCAACCAGCAAAACACCACTAAATGTGGTCCAGGCTGTTTGCTCTGAGCAAGAGAGCGTCCATTTCTGACTCATCGTATCGTCACCGAAGGGAAGAGAAACACTAAGGCAGGGGTTCTCAACCTGTGGGTCGGGACCCCATTTGGGGTCGAACGACCATTTCACGGGGGTCGCCAAACAACGCAGTCCGCCATTTTTTCCCCCTTTTCCTTAGCTGTGCTACTCCCTTTTATTCTATTGGCTTTTGAAAGCCAATAGAATAGACTCTCTTGAATAGAGTCTAATTCTATTGGCTTTCAAAAGCCAATAGGAATTGTCCAGGCTGTCTCTGCCCTGCTGAGCCCGCCAAAAGTCCCATTCTGCAAACGGTGCTGCACCAGTTGAGTAGTCCTCGACTTACGACCGGTTGAGTAGTCTTCGACTTACGACTGGTGGGGGGGGGGTCGCAGCATTAAAAAGGTTGAGAACCACTGCACTAAGGCAACCTTTTCCACGCATTTGGCAAGTTTTAAGAACGGATGGCGTGTTCAACTCCCAGAATTCCCCAGCCAGCCCGGGAACCGCCATTATTACCTCCACACTGGCTTCTGGAAAGCCAAACCGCTTCTGAACGACGGCCGTCAGCTCGCGAATCCGACGTCCTTTCTCGCCGAGAACGTTCTGAGTTCTGAACGGCAAAAGGCAAAGATATGGCATTAGGTCAGTTCCGCCCGAAGGACTTTGGAAATTCCCAATATATATATATATTTTTTTCTAAATCGAGCCTGCATTTAACTGCCACTGGAAGGATTATCTGATCTGATCCAACTCTTCTCTCACAGGAGTCCACAAGTTCTTTTGCTCTATTCCAACAACCTGCCTAAAATTACTTACGCCGCACTTATACTCTCTTTGACTAGAGCAGCGGTTCTCAACCCTGTGGGTCGGGACCCCATTTGGGGTCGAACGGCCATTTCACGGGGGTCGCCAAACAGTGCAATCCGCCATTTTCCCCCCCTTTTCCTTAGCTGTGCTACTCCCTTTTATTTTATTGGCTTTCGAAAGCCAATAGAATAGACTCTCTTGAATAGAGTCTAATTCTATTGGCTTTCAAAAGCCCACAGGAATTGTCCAGGCTGTCTCTGCCCTGCTGAGCCCGCCAAAAGTCCCATTCTGCAAACGGTGCTGCACCAGTTGAGTAGTCCTCGACTTACGACCGGTTGGGGGGGGGTCGCGGCATTAAAAAGGTTGAGAACCACTGGACTAGAGCTACCCGTTTTATGTGCCTATAAGTAGTCCTCAATTTACGACCATCCTGGTCGTACTATGGCCTACAGTGGTCGTCAAGCGAGTCATCACATCACAATTTTGACTTTTTGCAAAGTGGACTCGTTAAGCGAGTCCATTGTTCACTAGGGGGTGTTTCTGCCCAAACCCCAAAGTAA